GAAACCGAGCTACCAGTTATAAGTTATGAGTTACTACGATAAAGTTGTGCGGTAAACTGATGCTGGGGATAGAAACGAAATGAAAACTTCTATGTAACATTGATCTCACGATAGCCCCTTGATCAACCACAAATCTATACAGTATTCAGTAAAATCTGATTTGAATACTATTATCAAAAGAAAGCACGCACTCAGATTCTAGAAGGAGCAAAGATTAAACTGCAAGCTTTAATTTAATTTTTAAAATATTTTTCTGAAATAACTTTGTAAAATCTACAAGCTATCCCAACATACCAGCATTCTTGCTTGCTGAATCCATGGCAGTCATTCGGGAACTTTGTTCAGATGCAGCAGATTCTTTCAGAGCATAATAGAGCAGTTGAGCTAACGAGTAATTAGCATAACTGCTTAACGCATTATTATCAATTAAGTTAATTTTTGCCAAATTCTCACAAATTAATCAAAAAATTGGAAATGATATTTCAGTTCAGAAATTATTTCAGTATTAGAATTTCATTACCTGAAAAAAGAAATCAATCATCAAATATGTTAAAGTATGAAATGGAATTTTTTCATTTTCTACTTAACGTCAATTAAATTTAATTAATATAATTTATATATATTCTATCCACATACTTATTATGTTTATATATCTAATATCACAAAGTTTATTAATTAATAAATTTTAAGTTACATTTCTTATATCACTCCTTTTAACATTTAATTTAGGAAAAATTTTCATGATTATTTTTAGGAATTTATTCGATTGATACGGTATCCTGTAAATATCCCATTCTTTTTTTCTTCAAATAACTTATTAAGGCCATTTTTGATTATCATAAGGTTAACTTTTTTCGAGTCAGATCAATATTACGATTATAGCCATGTACAATTAATCAATTGATTAATTAAATCTTTGCTAATACTTCATAATTTACTTGTAATTGTTCAAGTCACAATTATTTGTCATTCAAAGGAATATTTGCAAACTATGTGTGATTGAATATTTCTCATCGATCAAGTTCTTTGTGAATAAACTTGGTGAAAACCTTCTTCGATCCAATCTTCCCGGTTCTTTGATCAAATTCTTCCCGAATAAACTTGTTGCAAAAAGAAATTCTCCGTTGATCAAATTCTCCCGAATAAATATTGGCAAAAAAAAAGAAAGGAAAAATTTCTCGGATCACATTTTGCATGTAACTTAGATCATCATTATCTATTTTATAATTGATATATCAATATAATAGGCGCCAAATAACAAAAAATTTTTGCGATAATTAGTATTTCATTTGGCAAAGAATCAAACTGACAAACGGTTCAATCTATATTTTCAATCCGATCCCAAGTTTAAAACTTTTCATTTTTTCTTTGTCAACAATTAAAACATCTTCCACCTCTTTCTACCTATCATTATTACTATTACTACTACTACTACTACTGCTACTACTACTACTACTACTACTATCATATTTTGTTAACCAAATGCATATTGGAGTTTTGATGTTGTCACAGCGATAAAAAATATGCCAAACATAAAGGGAAAGAAACCAACGATATCATTATCAATTAAAGATGAATTTGATGAGGAACGTATTAGACAAATGGAAGAAATGGCTCGTAATCTTGAGGTTTGCTCATTTACATTATCTCATTTTATCACTATACCTTTCTATTAATTAATTAATTGATTATAGATCTTATGCTAACGAATATAATCCTTTATGTAAATTCCATTGCAAATCTAAATAAAAATATTTGAATTTATTTTAAATTTATTTCATGATTCAACCAATAAATGCAGTAAATACATTGTCTCATTTTCTCATTGCACTTTATTATTAATTAATCAATTAATTGATTAATTATTTACTTGTGAATTTTATGTCAACAAATATAATCTTTTTTGCAAATTCTTTTTCAAATCGAACTAAAAATATTGAAATTTATTTTAGATTTACTTCGTAATCTTAATCAAAGAATGATTTTAGGATGATTTTTAGTTGAACAAAAAAAAAACAAAAATTGAGTTTTAAAAGAAAATTAAAAAGCAAGAAAAAAACGAAACAAAATTTAATAAAATTTAAATATTCATTT